GCGCATGACACACACTTATCAAATGTTATAAAGTATTTGACAGGTAAGCCTCGTAATATCTCATTTTTTGCAAGATGATTCAGATTCTTAGCGTTAGCATGACCGATTCGTCGGTGCCATTGTTGGAATAGTGTCTAAGGCTGCAACTATATTAGGCAAGTATTTGACCCGGTTGTGCATGGTCCTTTTGGGTTGCCTTCACCATAGCAACTTGATGGATGATTTGTTAAGAGAGAGTAAATATTATAAGGAATAATATATGGTTATTTGATTAATATAAGTCATAGATTAATTGGAATTAATTTGGTGACTTAAAGAGATTAATTAAATAAGAGGGTATAAATTGTCAATTGTTTGATAGTTACACTTTAGACTATAAATCCTTATCCAAGATAGGATGGAAGGTTTCTAGGGCTTGGATAAGCCAAAATCATCCATAGGGTTATCAAGGAAAGGATATGGATCAACTTAAAGTCTAAGTTATCCAATTAGGGTTAAAGCTGTAATCTTTAAGGAGTCTACAAGTATAAATAGACCCTAGGGGTGAGGGAATTCGACACATCATCTAAAGTAGAGATACTCTGGCCGAATTCCTCCCCTCTCCTCTCTCCTAAATCATCCTTCTTGCTATTGGTGTTTGTAAGCCATTAGAGGAGTGACATTTGTGACTCTAGAAGCTCCAAGACAACAAGATCAACAAGGAATCCAAAGGTATGATTCTAGATCTATTTCAATGTTGTTATTTAACCTAATTAGCCATTAGAAGTCTTGGATTCAAAGCATGTTTAATTAGAAAGCCTAGATCCGAGCATTAGGGTTTTGCATGCGCACATAGGAAAGTTCTTATGGCTAAAACCCATCAGTGGTATTAGAGCCTAGCTTGGTTTTCTTTAAATTGTTGCTTGATTAACTGAAACAAACCTGCAAAATTCGATTTTTGGGTTTCTGAGTCATGGACTCGGCGAGTTCCAAAGTAGACTCGGCGAGTAGGCCTGACTCGGCGAGTCCCTTTGTGTACTCGGCGAGTCCGGGCGCGTCAGGATTAGGCAAAACCGGGATTTTTTCATGTTTATCTTATGGAAACTTACCTTAATCATAGTAGATCAACCCTAATCTGATTTTTTGATATATATGACGATAATCTTGATCTAATTAAAGATATTAATTATTTTGATAATTATCTTAAAAGAAATCTTGGATAAATCAAATAAAGATAATTAGGATATTAATTGTTAATTGGAATTAATTGTTATTTTATCCCCCCATGTTTTAAAATGTTTAAAACTTGCCCTCAAGTTTTGAAATTTATATTTGTGATTAAAAAGTTTTAATTTAGACAACTTAAATTTTAAACCCTACATTTTAAAAGGTTTAAAACACAACCTTATACTAATATGATATTACTAGAATAACATATATATGTATAACTAAATGCTAGTCTTACCGTTAGTAGGCTTCATTCACGAAGCCGATCTATAAGGTGGGTATAAGGTTGTGGCCTATAAAATGGTGCTTAATGGGTGTACACTCACACCCACCGCTTGCTTGATTGGTGGAGGGTCGTTAGCCGAACGGGTAGGATAGGGCAACCTCATCCTCTCATTAAAAGTATAATAAGAAATACAAAGTAACTACACCTTTTAAAAATTTCTCAATCTTAGTTACTTTAGGAAAAGTGAATTGATGCAATCCCATGAAATTACACTTTGCACCCTTGCTAAGAAGTTAGTGGAGCGTGTGTGGTTTACCGGCACACTAATTGGTTCTAAGCAAAGGTGGCAAAGGGTGATTCATTGTTTATCATAGTTCGATGGAGCGTGTGTGGTTTACCGGCACATCGAATAGGTGATCGTTACAATGAAGGCACCATGTGAATTGCATGGTAATTCACACCCGCTTTGTGATCCTCGGCATCCCAGTCACAAACAAGAGGGGCATATCGTGATTTAAACATGCCATTGAATAGTTTCAATGAATCTCATCCGAACCTAGGAATTCTCAATACACTTAGGACTAATAGTCTAGGTTTTGTAATGGAGAATTAGTGAATCGTCATTCACTTACCTTCAATTTATTTTCATGTTAGATTACGGCATCCCTTTTCTAATATGTAAATGTTATTGTTAGATCCTAACCCTAATTTTTCTTATTGGGTGATAATTAGGGATTCTTATTCTAATCTATCTTTGTCCTTTCTATAGATGTCGAACACAAACAAGGCTGCTGCGAGTTCTTTCACATTGATGAGCCTTTGCCAAAAGGTCACCTTCGATGGAGCGAACTTTAGCGAATGGATAAGATACATTCGCACCATTGCTCGCTATGAGGATAAGGAGTATGTCCTCGATGAAAAGCTTGAGAAGATCAACCCCGAAATCGCTACTCCGGCCGAAATCACCGCTTTTGAGACTCATGAGCGAGATGCAACGAAGGTACATTGCATCATGATTGCCACCATGAACTCCGAATTCCAAAAGTCCTACGAGGACATGTATCCGTACGAGATGCATCAAGACTTATTGGAGAGATACCACCAAAACACGAGACAAGAGCGTTATGAGATTTTCACTAACATGATCTCCGCTAAGATGGGTCATGGAGAATCTCTTACCGTGCACCTGCAAAAGATGCAAAGGTATGTCGATCACCTTCGCAAGTTAAATGTTGACTTTGGGGAAGACTTGCGATCGACATGGTGCTTCACTCTTTGCCTCCGATGTACAACCAATTTAGGATGACCTACCACATGAACAAAGAGGAGGTCACCCTAAGCAAACTCCAAGGTCTTTTGAGGGTCGCTGAGAGCAACTTCAAAGACAATTCTGTTGCACCTACTCCCAATCCGTCTGCTGCTCCTGCTTTGGCAATTGGTCAAGGAAAGGGAGAGAAGAGGAAGGCTTCATCAAAGAACTATCGCAAGGTTAAAGCCCGAGATGGTGCCTCTTCTAGTGGGACCAAAGTTGATCCCTCTAAGCCCTATCCTAACCCGAAGGAGGTAGAGTGCCACCACTGCCACAAGATAGGACATTGGAAGAGAAGCTACCCAGAATACCTGCAAGCAATCAAAGAAGGAAAGATCAAGCCATCTTTCGCAGGTATATACACAATTAAATCTAACGATTCTAATCATGCTATTTCTTGGGTTCTTGACACCGGTTGTGGTTATCACATTTGTTCAAATGTCCAGGGACTAAGAAGAAGTAGGGATGTGGAGCAAGAAGGATCATCTAATCATGGGGAACAGAAGATCGTCGCCTTGTTACCAAGATTGGAGTGTATTCTTTAGTGCTTAGGAATAATTTATGTTTAGATTTGAACAATTGTTGCTATTCGCCAGAAATGGCTAAAACATCATTTCATTTCATGGTTTATATAGACAAGGATTTAGATTTTCTTTTAATAATGAGAATGGTTCTATTTTGGCTTATCTAAATAGTGTCTTTTACTTTGAAGCTATACCATGTA